ATCTCGCAGTTTGAAGTGCTTCTGGAGGTCGTCCTTGACGCGCTGGATGGCTGACTTGGATTTGCCAGCAATGGTGATGTCATCGACAAAGACAGGGATGATAAGACGCACTCCATCGCGCAGATAGACCCAGACACTGTGCTCGCAGCTGAGTCGCTCAAAGCCAAGTTTGGTGAGCACCTCATGGAGCTTCTCATGCCAGCATCGACCAGCCTGCTTGAGCCCATAGAGCGATTTGCGAAGCCTCCAGACCCAGTCAGGTGTCTTCTCCTCAAAGCCCTCAGGCTGTCGCATGTAGACCTCCTCCTTGAGCTCGCCATTGAGGTAGGCAGAGGAGATGTCGACAGACTCGAGTTCGAGGTCCTCAAGTGCAGCAAGGGCTAGAATGGCTCGAATCGACGCCCACTTGGGGGTAGGGGCGAAGGTCTCGTTGTAGTCGAAGCCAGGACGCTGGGAGAAGCCTTTGGCCACAAGGCGACCCTTGTATCGCTCAATTGAGCCGTCTGCATTGCGCTTCACCCTGAAGACCCATCTGCAGCCAATGGCCCTGCGTCCTGGGGGCAGCTGGACGAGTTCAAAGGTGCCATTCTCGACCAGTGACTGGATTTCGTCCTGAGCAGCCTTGAGCCACTTGCTGCGCTCATCTGGAGCGAGCTGCATGACCTCAGCAATCGACTTGGGCTCCCCAAAGTGCTCCTGGTCCGCCTTGAACGCGTGCTGGACCACTGACTCGAATGCGAACTCTAGGGCATCGTCATAGGGCAGGAAATCGTCGACTTGACCAGAGTAGACGTACTCAATGCCTGCCAGCATGGCCTGCAGAGCGTCCGCATCGTCGCTTCCTATGCAGTCCAATTCGTCGTCTGAGGATGTGGGACTTGGAGGAGGGGTGGTAGAGCGAGGGGCGAGTCTGCGAGCAGGAGCTGGATCGACTGGTGCGTCAATTAGAGGATCTGGAGAAGGCGAATTCTGTCGAGGTTCTGGAGCTGGAGCTGGAGCTGGAGCTGGAGCTGGAGCTGGAGCTGGAGCTGGAGCTGGAGCTGGAGCTGGAGCTGGAGCAGGCGACACAGAGCGAATGCGATGGCGAGGGGCAACGAGGTTCTGGCGTTCAAGGTCCCTGTCATTGAGGGAACCCTGGTAGCGAGTAGAGCGAGCTGGGAGCTGTTTCCGAGCGAGTGCTGGGTAAGGTCTGAAGCCGCCTTGACCCTGGGCTGGCTGGTGGACAGACGGTGCAGGGGGACGAGCTATGGGCGCAGGAGGCGGTGGCTGAGGAGCCTGTGGAGCGACTGGTGCAGGAGGGAGTTGTGGAGGTGCTGGTGGACTCTGAGAGCGCGACTGGGGCTCTGAAACGTCAGGAGATGGAGAGTGCGAAGGAGCGATGTTAGGAGGTGGACTCTGAGGCGCAGGAGGCGGAATTTGGGGCGCAGGAGGCGGAGTTTGAGGCACAGGAGGCGCAGGTGGAGCTGGTGGTGCAGGAGGTGCAGGAGCATCAAAGTCGTCGTCTCCCCCTGATCCTGCAGCTCTGGCATACCTGGGACATTGTCCTGGGGCGCAGAGTCCGCATCCTCGTCGTCTGGTGCACCAGGGACATCCACATCGTCCAGGGGAAGGCCAAAGACATTGATGAAGGGCGAGTTTCCAGGAAAGCAGCTCTCATCAAACACTGCATGCGACGAGATGAGCACCTTCTTTGCTGCAGGGTCCCAAAATTGCCAGGCCTTGGTGCCATCTGGGTAGCCAATGAAGATGCACTTGCGAGTGTGAGACTGCAGCGCTTTGCGATCCTTCTTGCGCACCAGAACATAGGCCAGAGAGCCAAAAACTCGAAAGTAGGACACATCTGGCTTCCTCCCATTGCCCTTCCATGCTGTGTAGGGTATGCCGCCGTCTAGAGCAGATGTGGGCATGCGATTTCGCGTGTGGACAAAGGTAGAGACGGCATTCACCCAGAAAGAAGGAGGGAGCTTGGATTGCGCTAGGAGGGCAGTAGCACCCTCAGAAATCGTCCGGTTGGCCCGCTCTGCCACCCCATTCTGGTGCGGCTCGTCTGTCTCTGTGTGCTGACGATGGATGCCGTGTTCTGCGCAGAAATCGATGAATTCCTGGCCCATGTACTCGCCTCCCTTGTCGTCTCGAGTGGCCTTGATGCGCAGGCCCAGGGCGTTCTCAGCATAGGCC